TTCGTCCAGTCCACACTTCCTCAGTTTAGACACTTGAAAAGGATGGGCAAAAAATATTTTTGCTGCCTTTTTTAAAAAAAGATATTCCCTCAACCTAAATATGTGGCATAGTCCAATTAAATAGAAACAGTAACGTGAAAAAGATTTTACTATTTATGGCCTTTGCATGGAAAAATCTTATCTTTCTGTAATGTTTTGATTACAGAAAAGTCTTTTAAGAAATGGCCAATGGTTTTGAGATCTTCCAAGAATGAATGAGGGGAAAATAAACGTTGGGGGTTTTTTTGTGTTTAAAGATAAAATTTGCAGGAAACAAACAGTTTGAATCTTTATTATGAAACAGAAAATCGCTGAATGGGCATTTTTTGAATCGCTGCCTCATGCTTTGAGCACCTATTCTTGTTTTTTCTTCAGCTTTTTCCAGACACACATTTTATCAGCTTCTTGATTTTTTTTTTTCCCCCTTTTTTTTTCCATCCAGTGCTCACTTGTTGAAATGCCATTCTCTTTTTACTAAGGTTTTAATGTCTTTTTTTGTTCCCTTTTCTTTGTGGGAGGGGAAGAATTTTTTTTCATGTAGCCATTTTTAGCAGAGTAACAGCTGAGGCGCTCAGGTTTGTTCAAATTAATGCAAGGTCATCACTAGATTACAGTTAAATGAGTGACTGTCATTTTTGATCTCACTAGTGAGTCGTTCTTACAGGACAGTCTGTATGGGAGAACATTTTGACTTAATTTAGCATGTAATAGTGAACCCTTTGGTACTCACTACTGTTCACACATGACATTCTCATTTTCTTTAAAGGGATGGAGCAGTTTTACGACTGGAGCAAGCAAAATCGCCTCAGCTGCTAAAGAGGGTGTAAGTAAACAACATGTATTTGAGTGTAGTTCTTGTAAACTCACAGATTCTGTTGCTGTTCTAATAGCAATGGATCTTTAAAAGTATTATCAAGACAAAATAAACTCTGTTCTTTGTGTATCTTTACCTGTGACATATAAAATAGATGTATGTTGAATGCAGATCTCTGCATTCATTATTTCTCATGTTTCTGGGTAGACATTTTGGTAAATTTGTCTGCTGGATGCAAGCATCGAGAAAGAACTCAACTGCCATTTTTATACTCCCTGGAGAAACAGAAAAAATTATTTATAAAGCAGAAATTTCAGTCTACGTCAAACGAGGCCGAATTGCAT